AAGCAGCCCCTCCCTGCCCATGCCCGGTGCCTCACGCTGCAACTGCTTGCAACCCGCGTGGGGCTGCCTGTGCCCACTCCGGACAGCCCTGTGTGAACTGTGAGCACCTGCAGCACGGAGCACTGGGCATGGGGCAGGTGAGGGGCTGCTTCCTCCCCGCACTCAGCTTTTCCCTGGGCTCCTTTCCTGCGTGGAGAAAAGCAGCCCCTCACCCACCCCATGGCTGGTGCCCTGCGCTGCAGGCGCTTGCAGCCCGCGCGAGACTGTTTGGAGCAGGCACAGGCAGCCCCAGGCAGGCTGCAAGCAGCTGCAGCATGGGGCATTGGCCATGGGGTGGGGAGGGGGTGCTTCCCCCCCCCGCTCAGCACCACCTTGTAACCCGGCCCCACTGCCAGGCTGGCAGTGGGGCGCATTACAAGCTGGTGCTGAACGTGGGGAGAAGTGGCCCCTTGCCTGCCCCATGGCCAGTGCCCTGCGCCGCACCCACCTACAGCCCACATGAGGCTGCCTGTGCTTGCTCCAGACAGCCCCGCATGGGCTGTGAGCAGCTGCAGCAGGGAGCCCTGGCCATGGGGTGGGCGAGGGGCCACTTTTCCCCACGCTCAGCACCAGCTTCTTCCCTGCTGGTGAGCAGGGGGTTGGGGCTGAGCGCTGCCCCCCGCCTGTACTGCAGGGCTGGGGAGCACTGGGTGTGAGTGCACAGTGAGCCAGCGGGAGCATGGGGCCCACACCGGTGTCCCGTGGCCAGTGCCTGTGGGGCAAAGAGCAGGGTGGCAGGAGCCCGGTGTCCCAGCTGACAGGGGCTCTGTGGAGCTGGGCCAGGTCCCCATTCCCTGCTGGTGCAGCCCAGCCCAGCTCCACAGACCCTTGCTGGCCTGTGCCCTGCTCTGTGCTCCACCAGTGCTGGCCCTGGGACATTGGTCCCAAGATGGTGACCAGGGGGCAGGGCATCTCTCAAGGGGTGGGGCAGCTGTCATGGGGCGGGGCTACCTATGTGGCCCTTGACAACCTGCCAAAACTGGGTAAGTGGCCCTCCGCCCAAAATAATTGCCCGCCCCTGCTGTATACCATGTACTTAATAGGTGTTAATTAAAATACGGTATCAAAAAGACCTGCAACACTTGAAGCCCTAATTGAGGAATACACTAACTGGGTAAGGACCCAATCCTATTAACACATGTGCACACAAGTCATTTTGTTTATCTGTAGCTCCACCCACAATCACTTGTACGGCTCAAAATGGGAAATGCTTTACTGTGTTTCTAGCTTGTGCCAACAAGCACATATGAAATTAAAGGCCTCAGTACAGTGCATGTATTGCTTTGGTGATTGGGGTTGTGCCACAATAATGGCCTATGAGAGATGAGCCACCACTATACAGCATACAATGCCTGCAGAGAGGGGAGAGGTTGATGGGTTCTTCTCCCCTCAGCACTTCCTATGACAACATCCCTGGCCTGAACAGCTCTCCCTATTTGCTTACAGCTCCAGTTCAGGCCAGGCAGGCTGCTTTGTTTTAGATGGAGAGGAGGACCTGCACTTCAACACCCATTGACTTGCTGGATTTGAGGCAGAAATGTTCAGTCCTCATGCTGAGATACTCTGAAGGCACTGCCTCCCACTTTTCCCCAACAGCTTCACTTTGCAAGCTCTGCTTCCAGGGGGTGGACATGGGTCACCCCATTACAGCTCCCTGGCTACTTATATGGAGGCTTCTTAATCCAGGGTTTGCTTACCTTTTTTGGGCTCAGTGTGCATAAGCTATGGCTGAGCTCTACACCTACAGAAAATCAGCATTAATATTGGAATCTGATTTCCTCGGCTTTCCAGGGCTGCTGTTTGTGTGCCAGAAGCTTTTCTGTTGGGAGCACACTGTTCTGGTTGCACAGAACAGCCTTTTTGGATGTCTGAACAAATCATGTCCTTTCTAAATTGTGAGACTCACAATTTTGGTTCTATTCTTTTTTTTTTCCTTTTCCATTGCCTTCAGCGGTAATAAAATGACTGGTTTCTACATGTCTCCTGTTTTCAGGTGGTATCACTGCTCTCTGTTGGGACCCAGTGCAACGAATTCTATTCTCGGGCAGCTCGGATCATTCCATCATTATGTGGGATATAGGAGGAAGAAAAGGAACAGCCATTGAACTACAAGGACACAAGTATGTCTGTGTTTGTGAGGGAGAAAAAGGCAGCCATCATATTTGTGGAAATGAAGCCAAGGGGTATACTCTTACCTCTGTGTTTTGGAGATGCATGTCTTGTTCACTGCATCTTGTGTGTCACTAGAGTTAACTACACTGAATGATGTAGTTTTCCCCTTGATCAGTTCAGTTTTCTGGTCTTGATACCAGGTTCCTTATTCTTGCCCTCTTGCGGCAAGACTAGGATTACCAGGCAATTGCCATACTCCTTTAGATATAAGATGCTTTTATGTTTAAAATGCACTCAGCTTTCTCACTCTCAAGTATAAGAAACTTCAAATAAATATACATTTACAGGGACACAACCTCAATGATGCACATAGACAGTTTTTCCTGCTTTAACTTCAGATGTATGCCATTTTTAGAAGAAATGTCTGTCTGTAATGTATTTTATTCAAAGGCATACTGTTTGTCCTGTGGTTCCTATGAAGAAGTTAAAAGTGGGTTCTGCTGTTATAGCTGTTATAAAGGGGAATATATGAAAGGGGAAAGCCAGAGTCAGTAGGACTAGACTGGGGTGGGGTATGAAGTGGGGACATGACTACTTGACTTTGTCTGAAAGACTTTTAAGATTACCTCTATATGCACATGTTCTTCAGAACTCGAGAACCTGTAGCTGTGTTCACTACCTGAATGACTCACTCTTCAAAGGCAGTTTCTTTGGTTAGGATGCCTGGATTTCAGGGTTCTGCTCTGCTGCATGCTGCATCCGCCAAGACCCCCCACACTGAAACTTTCAGATCTTTATAAAGCTTACAAATGTAGACCTGTGTTGGCTTATTGTTGTAGCATTGGATCATTTGTTTACAAATCTGTGTTCTTCATCTGTGGTATGACTGGTCTGTAAGATGCACTGAAACAGAACCGTTGTGGGGTGGTGGCATTTCCATCATGTGCTGCCATTGGGGTTGGCAAGTTCTCAGTATACTAGTGTGATATGGTACGAGATGAAAGATTGCCTCCTAACAGCATTGCTGCATGGAGGAGCCATCATATGCAGATTAATGGGCTAATATTAAAACCCTTCTCAGTAGATGAGTGTGCCAGAGCCTGAAAGTATGACGGGAAGATCTTTAATCCCAGTGTGTCAAACCACCAGCCCTCTCTCTGACCCCGCACTGTTCAATATCTTCATCAGTGATTTGGATGAGGGGGTGCAAAGCACCCTGTTCAAGTTTGCTGATGACACTAAGATGTGGGGGGATGTGGGCACAATAGAGGGGAGCAACAGGCTACAGTTGGACCTAGATAGGTTACAAGGATGGGCAGAGGAGAACAGGATGGGGTTTAACACGGACAAGTG